ACCCCGCACCCTGGGCCCAATGTGGCAACTCAAGAGTTTTGTGCGATATATTCGGGGGGGGAATTTTGAAAACAGAAATCATTCATTTTCGTAAAAGTGGGTTACATTTGGCAATATACTTGAGCTATACGAAGCGTAATTTAAAGGAAATGTGCTGAATTTCTAGAATTCTAATCTGTCAATTATTACAGAAAAGTAGTTTATATTAGGGGTTTTTTTTCCAGCCCCAGCCACCTCATTAACCCTATCCGTACGTCGTGTTTTACTATCGTATCCATACGATGTGGGGAACTCTGAGCCACCACTTTCAAAGAGGAAATTTACTCGTTAATCCGATCCGAACGCTTTGCATAGCAGTCTGTCAAAATGATTTTTTGAGAAATACTGAAAGTTTTAAAGAGATCTTCGTACTAGAAGTATTCTAAAATGTGAAAAATACAACCCCGGGGGTACAAAATGGCCCCAAGGATAGAATTTTTTTTTAAATGTCAACATGAACATAATGCATAGATCTAAAATAGGTGTATCTGTTTGCCGTTTGTAGCTTTTTCGAAGTGGTCCGTAATCTGAAAAGTTTGCTCACCCCTGACCTAAACCGACCATTCGCCATGAGTGCATGCGCTGTTTCCAATACAAAGTTAGTGCTTTACCTTTTTCTGGCAAAGCGAGCTACAGGCTGGATACCAGATACCAAAATGTGCTCTAAAAAATAAAGAAACAAGAACAGAAAGTCGGGAGACAAGACACTATCCCTGCGCCTAAGTGCTTGAGAGACACCCATAGGAAAATGGTGCTCCTGGGAGGGGGGAGGGGAGATTTTTACGGCACTTGCAACACAATAAGGTCACTTAAGTGCTGAAGTTTATAGAAGTGTCACTACTAGAGTAACAGATAACGAAAAGAAGGAGGAAAGATTTATATAAGGACAATAGATGTTTGACTTGATAGGAAAGAAGGAGCAAACTTCACAAGAGCACTCACCAATCACCCACAAAAAAGAAGTAAGACAGGCATAATGAAGACGAACGACCAGACATAAATAAACACAAAATTTCCACCACACATCCTCAATGGGATCGGCTTTTAGTAAGAGTATTGCAGCTCCTGCAACACAATAAGGCCATAAGTGCCGAAGATTAGAGTTGTTACAAGAGAGTAATAAGCAGAAAAAAGAAGGAGGGGTAAGATAGAGGTTTGATAGGAGAGAAGGAGCAAATCACACCAGAGCACCCGCCAACCATACACCTCAACGAAACCATCAATCACATAAGAAGCAAAAGATAGGACAGCTCACCAAATATAATTTCCCGCCATCAACTGATCACAGTAGATGTTTATTCAACCTTAATAAAAATAAAATAAATAATTTAAATAAAAATGGTCAACATTCAACAATTCACCGTGAAAATATAATACACATCATAAAACAAAAACCCAATTAACTGTAGTGGTAGAATCTCCCTTGGTGTTGATCGGGGAGACAAAATTTCTCTTTCCTTTTCCACAGATGAACACACAACCGACAACACTATTCTTTTAAATAAAAGTAAAAGACATATAATATACATGTATTTCATTCAAAATCCAGAGACTTATAATATAATATACATGTATTTCATTCAAAATCCAGAGACTTCCAGTCCTTTCTTAAACTGTCAAGTGGAGTACAAAGTTCAAAACTGAATTTTTTGGCAAGTTTTGAGCATTGTTTCAATCACTCTTGGAAAATTCAAATATATTCATTGTGCCTCTAATAAGATGAAGCGATACGACTTAATAAATGACCTTGATGAGTCAAGAAAAACATAAAACAAACATTATTTTCAAACAGAACCACATAAACAAATTCGATTGAAGGGTGATCATGGGGTTTACTTCACAGACCTTTCAATGCTTGGACACGATCAACTCTTTGAACCCCTCAGCTAAAAAAAAACAAAAAAACTCGTGCAACTGAGATTCAACAGGCAAACTCCTCGATTTATGCCACTACTTTCTAGGGAGGCCTGTGTTGGGCGCATAAAACAAAAATGATAGCATGAGCCGAGGTATCCCTTGGATCTGTAGGGTTAACATAATTAAGTAAAACAGTATAGCCTTGATATGGGAGTTTAATTTGTTCTAAGACCAACCTCATAACTCCTGATTCGTACCTCAAATCACTTTTCCTCCAGTGATTAACCAGAATATTTTCAATATATTCCAGGCCCCTAACATCACCTTTACTTTCCTGATTAAAACTCATCCCAATTTTTTCTGGGTTTCTTACAAGCAAAAACACATGAATAAACAAGCAGTCTCAACTATTCTATGACCAACAACTCAAGACTGTAGATGGCTGCAACATATACATAGTACCAATACATTTAACTTATGCATGTAGTTCATTCATATGGCACCAAAGTATAGATGAAAACATCAGAGTCTCTTCCTTTCCAAATTCTCTTCTAAATATAAGTTAAAAACTCTGCTCTATATGATGAACAGATTGTGCAATAGATCTTCAAGAATTACAAAGTCACAAGCAAAAACATTAAACATAATTCTTTTATAAAATTAAAAAGAATTAGTGCAGTCAAAACAAAAGTTCCAACAGCAAAGAAATCTTTTGCCCTGGTCAGAGGCAACAAAACTGTCAACACAAAAAGTAAAGGTGTAAGTTACAGGATTCCCCGAGCTGAAAGCCTTCATTCATCACAGTTGCTCCTTCAGCAAATGAAGTTTTAGTTTTAGTACAGTGGAATTCTGTTATAACGAGAGGGAGGGGACCGGTGCTTTATGTCCGTTATAGTAGGATTCTCGCTATACGGGATCCAGTAAAAAAAATTCAAGGGAAACTTTAAAGTAGGCCTAATCTATGAGTTTGGTGTTCTGTTTATTTCCTTTTACTATCTCCCCTGATGATGATTTTTTTTTTTTCAAGATGACCTCTAGGTCTTACTTGATCAAAAATCGAATCAGGTTTCTTTCTGTAGCGCTAGATTTAGCAATATGGACTGACAGCTCGGCGTTGGCAGTCAGAAAGAAAGGGCTCTGGGCTGGCTCTGGGCTAACTTGCCTGCTGTGTTTTCCCCCACCCCACCCCACCCTGTGGTGCATTCCGTCTGTTTGCGCACGTCACACATTCGCTCCATCAATCACATTGCTGCGAGCTCTCCATTCCCGCATCGGAGAAGTGAGAGGCATGGTAGGCCTTGATAATCTAAACTAAGCTTACACTGGCCTATCATGCGATGCGTTCTGCTTGTCTGCGCCTGCCACACCCTCCCAACTCAGTCGCTCCGGCCTTTATAGTTGACACACATGGGCTCTCCCATTCTTTGTTTCGCTAGATCACCAACAAGTTTCTCAACTGGCGAGGTTTTACATGATGTATAATTGGCCTATGCACTGTGCACTGGAGCAGGAATATTCCGCTATAACCGACTCTCTTGTTTGTCTGATAGCGCTATAGCAGTATTTTATTTACAAAGGTAAAGAGGAGAAAAAAACGGGGTTTTAGAATAGCGTCTTTATAACAGACTTCTCGTTTTTTCCGGACTCGTTATAAGTGGACTCCACTGTAACAGTTTTACTGCACTTGTAAAAAAAAAAAAGTCATAAATAAATGCTGAAGATTAAAGGTGATACTAGACAGTAACATACGAAGAAAAGAACGAAGAGAGATAAGGATGATAGATGTTTAATGCAAAAGAAAGAAACAAACCACACCACAGTTCCCAACAATGACCCACCAGGAAACGGAAACAAGTTAAGTAACCGGTGTCTTTATTAATTCAACGAAAGTTAGCGCAGTGGAATATGTGAGACTGTATTAAAAAAATGCGATCATGACATTGACATCACAGACGTGAGATCATGGTAGTGGTAACTCTGATATTAAACAAATATTTTGAGTATTTTAATGGAAGCAAAAAGGGTTTGTCTGTTAACATTTTCCCCCCAATGAAAAAAGCCTTTTCACCTCTCACTCTTAGTTTACCCACAGTTCTTTGTACATACAGATCAACACTGTTATTGTTGAACCAAACCAGCCATGACATATTTGAATGACGAGTTAACAAACTCTCTGGCACAAGAAACAACAGCTCAACAAGATTCTTCCACAGTAGAAACTGGGTAGCCAGCATATTAAGAGTGTCTTACGATAAAAGGCATGATGAATTTGCAAAAAAAAGTTACACAGCTTTTAAGAAAATAAATTAAAATTCAGTTGTAAACACGTCTCAAAGACCAGGTAATTTCGAATGAAAATTCAGAAGTTTAAGAGCCTCAAAAATACCCTGAGTCTCCTGGGGCACATTGTGACACTACAGCATTCACTGCTCCAGTCAGTGAGTAGAATAAAAGATAACAAGACAACCAAAAACAATCCCATGCCTGTAACCTACTCGAGTTAAATCAAGACTTCAGCTTTCACGGGAACACATACTACTGAAAAAGTATAACACTGGTAGTTTTTTAAAGTTTGTGAGTTGGTTGTGAGTTCCGCCAAAGAGCCAAATAGTAAGCACAAAGTAGCATTTTCACTGGGTTATTGGACCCAGCTGAACCACAACATACAATGTATTTTCGCTCCATTATTAGTAGACCCATAAGTACCATCAAGTACAACATATATGGATGAATTTGGTTGACCTTTCAACTATTCCAGTCACAACAAACCCAGGAGAAACATGAATAGTTGCTATTGCATATGACACAGGAAAATGATTTGTACAAAGCTGCAGGCCAGTACTAGTACTAGATAGGGTAGCGCTGCTGATCGAAGCCCAAATGAAAAATGTTGTTGGAGAATCACCCTAACTTTCTTCGTCTCGTGGGGTAATTGACAATACCATCAAATTTCAGTAGACATGCAAGATTCTCCGGATGGTTGGAAGGAGATTTGGAGAAGTCTGATCCTTCAGTTCGTTTGGGTATTTTTCAGAGTTGCAATTTCCAGACTCTGGTTTATGGCCAAATTCAGTTATTATAAAATAAGTTCACTGGAAAAAAAAAAAACAACCAAAAGAAAAACAAACTATTCTCCAGTGAAAAAAAAAAAGCCTTTTCCATACAACTGAACTTTTCTGGATAAACATAATTACATTTAAATCAGAACTGCAGAAAAAGTAAGACATTACAAGTTTGAAATTCAAAAGAGGTCAGGTCTTTTCGTTTTTCCTTGTACATTGCCCCTCTTCTCAGAGTCCTGATGGGAGATCATGCCACATGCCTTCAAATTACCCTATTCTGAGTAGGCCTACTGAGTGGTAGCAAATTTGAACCCCCCTAAAAAAAAGAAAAGAAATATGTCTCAAAAGATTGTCACTGTGGTTGGGTGATCAAGTAAACACACAAACTATGTCACAAACAAACACACAAACTATGTCACAAACAATGTCAGTGATACGGCTATCTCATGGGTGGTCACTGGTGTCAAAGGAAGACATTATAAATGACTCTGGTTCATAGGGGCAACCAGAAACGGCATGATCACAAAATTGCCTATAGCAGCAAGAGATTGTGGATTATGTGAAATATTATAATATCATTACTGTAAATCGCTTGAAAGGGCAAAGTACATAATTTCATTTTCCAAAACCCAGTTGTTGTTGTTTTCTTCTTTTTCTTCGTCACAAGACATAAGTTTTCACGCATTTTCATCTCTCAAAAAACACTTTCTATTTTACAGTTGTTAGCATACACGGTGCCTCTTAAATCTAGACCAAATTATGAAAATCCAGTAATCCTGCAGATACGAAGCATGCCACTGACAGAGACAATACGATACTGTATAACATGCGATTGTGTCCCACATTTCCATATGGAAATAAAAACAGTATGCTTCTCATTTCCATCTCTATACTTTGCTTTATGAAATTCTATAGCAATTTAAAAATTAAAAAAAAATTTTTTTTTAAAATATATATAAAAAACCCCCACATATTTCCATGAATCACTATTCTGTACATCCACCAAAGTTATGTTATTTTTCTTACAAAAATGTTACCAAAACATTTCCCTGTGCATCGAGTTCTAACACCTAGAAGACGGCAGCCCCAGTCAAGATGCGTTCGAGACTTCCTGCCCCATCTTGATCACCGTGGCTTTGATCTCCTGGTAGTGTTCCTCGGACAGACAGGCCGTCTCGATGATTTTGTCCACATCTTCTTCGGTCAAGTTGTAGTAGCCAGCTTCCTCTGTTCATGGCAACAAACAAACCCGTGAAAAAAATAGAATAGAAAATATGAAAAATAAAATACCACTTTTATAAATCCCCTAAGAAACCAGTGAAAAATATAAAATATGAAATATGAAAAATAAAATACCACTTTTATAAATCCCCTAAGAGAAATTGGTTTAGAATGGCTTATACATGCAACTAAATACAAAAATACATAAAGTTTTTCATCAAAATTAGATAAGACACACACGCACAAACACACATATACTAATACTAACACACACACACAGACATAAACTCACACACTTGAGTATAATTGACAACACTGACAGCTTAGCTCTCTTTATAATTGACTTGCCAAAGTGAGAACCCTTAAAATGAATGGAACGGGATGCAAGAGGAAAGGTTTATGATTTCCTTTTAAATATTAACTTTTTTGTATCTTGCTTTAGTGGAAAAAAATCACTTAAATTTTTTACATAGCCCTTGAATAAACCCTATTGAATTACTAACCGAACTCATTTCGCACACACCTATACACCCCAACTCACTTGACACACCCCAACTCACTTGACCCAGAATGGCATTAAAATGCATCAGGTTACAGAACTTACCTTTGATGGGTAAATGACCACCTAGCTCTATGCAAGCAACATTGAACTCTTCAGATGATTTATTGCCTGGGGAGTTTGAAGGGGAACTTTTTTCAGTTTTTATTTTTTTGTAAGAGTTTTACAGCACTTGGAACCCAAATAAGTAATATAAGTGCCGCAGATTAGAGGTGTTACTAAAGAGCAACATACGTGAACAAAGAAAAGAAGGAGAGATAAGGACAACAGAGTTTGATAGGAGAGAAGAGGAAAACCACACCAGAGCGCCCGCCAACCACGCACTTGAATGAAAATTAGCTATATAAACATTACATTTATTTTATGCCTACAAGCAATGCAACTACGAAGATCAAACGTCCAATAAAATTTTCTATCTTAAGAATCAAACCTCATGCACACCCTCTACAAAAGAACCCCCCCCCCTCAACCACACACATCCGCCTAACAGTAAACAAAGATAAAAAAATGTCAAAAGATATAATATTGACAATGAGACGACATGCAAAAGAAAAGAAACCAAGTAGTTTCACTGATTTAACTTGCAGAATAAGAATTCTTAAGAACATACAGATATCATAATCATTAGAATTAACAAAGAAAATGAACGTAGCAAAATCATAATGAAAATCAAACATTATATATTCTGATAAGAAGGAGCCCTCAACAACAAAATTGTGGGAAAAAAAGGGAAATAAAGTTGACCACATTTTCCTCCTGAAACAGAGCGTCGTGCAGAAATATGGTAAAACAATTGTATCAAACTACAGAAATATGTTCTTAGCAGACCAGGGCCAACCCAAACACTGGGGGAGACTACTCAGAGTCAGAGCTTGTTGTGAGGATTTTTTTTGGGGGGGAAAGTGTTTTACCGCGCTCGCAACTGCATAAGGTCATATGAGCACGCTGAACACACTAAATATTTTCAGTTGGTAGGAAATTTTGAATTTTGCCCGGGAGGCGGCTGAAGCCTACTCTTTTCGATTTTGGACCACAAAGGGATCTTTAACATGTGCAACTTGCACACGAGACCTCCGAGATTTTTCGCCCTTGTCCGAGAAGGCAAGGTGTAGATCTTTCCTACCAGAAGATCAGGGAGGATGTGAGGATGAGGGAGAGCGGGTCATCAAAGGGAAAGCAAACACTGTACTCACCTTCCCTTTAACCCTATCCGTACGCCTGAGGTCATTTGGTACCCCAGGGGTTGTATTCTTCACATTTTAGAACACTTCTAGTTTTAGTTTTAGTAAGAGTTTCATGGCGCTTGCGACACAATAAGGTCATTTCAGTGCCGAAGAATATATTATGTGTTACAAGAGAGTAACATACACAAAAATAAAGGAGGGGAGATAAGGACGACAGATGTTTGATAGGAAAGAAGGAGGAAACTGCACCAGAGCACCTGCCAACCACCACTTCTAGAGCGAAAATCTCTGTGAAACTTTCAGTAGGCCCCTTTTTCTCAAAAAATCATTTTGACAGACTGCTATGCAAAGCGTACGGATGGGATTAACAAGTAAATTTTCTGTTTGGAAAGAGGTGGCAGAGAGTTCCCCACGACGTACAAATACGGTTAACTCACTCAGCAATGGGGCCAAGGACCCGGTCTACTGGCTGTGCCTAGTGGTTTAAGGTGTTTTTGTAAAATCGGAAAAAAATACTACATCAACTTTAATCGCCGTAATATTTCACACACAATTATTTTAGCCATTACATGGACCATTACCATTTACAGAATTTGAAAATATTAGATAGTCTGTGAAATATTGCAATTTGAAAAATGCCAGCAACACGCACTAAAACGTGGCTCGAATGGAAAACCCAGACTCGTTCTCATTTCCCACTTCGTTACCACGTGCAAAGTAATTTTCCATTATAGGTCCAGAAAGCAACTTTTGCCCTTGTAATAGTCTGTCTCTTATAAAGAAATGGCCAGGGGTCACTTATAAACTATAATCTGTTCTCACTGGATGTGTTTTCACGTTATTAAGAAGTACAAATTTACATCCCGCTACTATTGGGTTCAGGACCCAGCGCAGAAGTCGCAACCCGACTATCTCAGGCTCAGAGTTGAGTGAGTTACTGGTATATGTTATATAAATTAACTATATCCACTCCTTATGAAAAACGTCAAGATAATGGTTTCACTAGTCTAGTAATAGCAAAATAGTACATTATAATTACCACAAAATAACAATTCATAAGTAGCATGAACATGTGTAACTGCTGGGTGCCATAAAAAAGTGACCAACTTAATAATATGAGAATAAAAATGGGTATTTTTCCTTTTTGAATTATTTCAAAAGTACACTGATTAGCTTGATTCTTTCAATGCCATTATATATAGTTTGGTCAGTTGGTTAGGCTGTTGGGCCCTGAACCAAAAAGTTGGGGGTTCCAACACTGTCAGAGGTCTCACAGCCAACTAACCACTTAGCACTGCTATCTGTGGTGACTTGTGGCACATGTGATCATTGCAAGTTGTTTGATATTATTTCCTTTACCATGCTAGCTACCAGTGGTTGCTATTAAGGTCTTTAACTTTTCTTCCTCCTCGAATGTGAAAGGTCATCATGAGTTCATGATGAACGAATTATATTATTGCTACTAAGGCTTGCCCATAAGAGGGCAGAAGAACAATATAATACCTGCCACCATGTGGCCACTACTTGTAGTACTGAAAATGCCAACGCTGAGCAGGTCTAAAAGGAAAAACTTTTGAGTTAAGAGGTGTTAATATTAGTAGTTCTCTTACATTATTTCTTCTATATTATTGAACCCATAAATTTAGCAGGCAATTTCAAACCTAACCCATTAATTATGCGTATATTGTACAGTTTGTTTTTTTCGTGTGCTCTTTTTTTTTGGTGCATTTTGCCCATTTTTGTTTTCACAAACATTTTGAATTATCCGTCTCGAGTAACCAAGCCCCACATATGTATTCAAGTTCCAATCCAATAGCACCCCCTTTTAATATTTTTTGAATGACTTGAATTCGTGGATTTCTTTACAAATCTCCAAAATAGGGAACAGAAGTAGCGTGGAAAAATAAAAAACACAAAAACAAACCAGGCACACAGTTGTCTCATTATAACAGAAAGAAAAAGACCACCAGACGCCCACTTTCAAACAACTGACCAGAAGATCTAACCAGAGATTAAAAATTTAAAAAACAAGCACAAAGAAAACCTGCCTGGGCCTGCCTTTTTGAGGGTCCCCACAATACAACTTTCACAAGTTGCAAGTCATGCACCAGTTTTACGTAACATTAAATCTATTTTTAAAGTAGCAAATTTTTCAGGGTGACTTTTATTCTACAAAAATTTACTGCATACAATTCAAAATTTATTATTCATCTAAATTAAATAACATTGTTAACACATCCCACAAAGGGCCAAATTGATATTGGCAAGGAACGTCTCCAGGTATAGGTCTTGTATACATAATTTAGCCCTCTGTCTGCATAACTACTACGTACCGGTTATCAAACCAAATATCTATGGCCTTAAGCATAATTTCCGCTGGTTGGTAATGAAAAGTAAGTTAAGTCGTAGACAGAGTTCTATGGCATTTGCAACACAAATAGAGGTCACAAAAGCGCAGAGGATTAGAGGTGCAATTAAAATAACATATGTGAGGCAGAGTGGTGGAATCAGGCTTTCATCAATTTTTGGGCATGTAGAGTTATTGGTATCATTTTAAGCTTATTTACTCGTCTTTATTTGGATGAAAAAAGTATCCATTTATCTTGAATACAAGTCAAGATATTTACGAAAGAAAGAGGTGGGGGTCACCTATTTTCAAAGATAAAATTAGTGAGAAAATGGCCTCCAAAGGTTAGTTATTTCCTTAGCTTAAGAGTCCGTGGTAACTGAAAATTTACATTTTCTGTACCTTTAATCAACGTTTTTCAAAAAAATCCACACATGATTTCTTTAGTGGGCATGAAAGGTGTTGAGCCAAAAAACAAAAATTTAATAAAAATTCACAAACCTGCGGAAAAATGCAAGTTTCTTCATTTTGATTATTTAGACGAGAGCCTGATTGCACCACGCTGCCTCACATATAAAGAAAAGAAACAGGGAAGATAAAGATGGTAGACATCTGATGGGAAAGAGGAACATACCACACACGTGCATCCACCCACCACTGACAATGAAAAGTAAGCAAACAAGCTCAAAAGCCAAAAAGAACATGGAGAAAGCTGAGTCATCAAGAATTCCTGCTCTAGACTAAAATTCTACAGTCCAGATACCAGTTACAGGTTAGCAAAATTAGTAAAATGAATACACTTCATTATGTAAGGAATACCTTAAACTATATACACAATAATGTGTTGGGTGACAATTATAATAATTAGATATACTTTTCTCTTTTAAATTGCCAGTGGAATATGCCACATAATGAATATAATTGAAACTTTTACTGCAACGAATGATGTATTACTGAGCCTAGATGTATAGCATTGAAAGTAAGCGGGGTTGAAAAGCTGAACCATAATGTGGACCTCGGCAAAATAATGATTGTACCTTCAAGATGAGCTTGATAAGAAGATTAGACAAAGTAGTACACAAAACATGAGCATTTTGAATTGAAACTAAGTATAACATCACACACAGATACAATAAAAAGGTCAATTCAGTCTAGCATACACATAGCCAAATCTGTGGGAAGCGGGAAATGTCTTTATGTACAAATTTTGCAATGTAAAAGCATGCTTTAAATACTAAGAATATATATGTATATGTTTAAGACAAAAAATCCAGGACCTGAAAATCTGTTTTTTATGAACGTGATTCCATTTGTGCATGTTTCGCTGTGTGCGTGTTTTGCTATGTGCAAGCTTAGAGTGTATTCGACTCTGTTTGATGTTTAATGACAATCAACAAAAGTACTCCAGACTCCTGTTGCACATACTATGGATAGAAAAACAAATTAACGAGAGTGTTACCAGCACAATAATATCTTTGTTTTAGTAAAGTTTTACAGCGCTCACAACTGCCTAAGGTCATATGAGCGCCAAGGGGTGGATGTCAACTAGAGGTGGGCAAAATCCGGATAATATCTAAGGATATTCGGATAACTCTCAATTAAACATTATCCGAATTCAGACTCTTAATTCTCTTTTTTCCTGACCCGTTTGCCGAAATGGGTGCACCCATTTGTTGAAATGCTGCTACCCGCTTGTCGAAGTGGTTCTAACCCATTTGCCGAAGCGGTTCATATCATATTATTTGCCGATGAGGTGAACTACCATAGTATCCGGATTTCGCTAAAGCAACTCCTCGCCCACCCCTTATGTCAACAGAGAAGTCCAAATGGGGAATGGAATCAGGTTTACTCTGCTCATCTCTCTAGTAATACTGAGCGGCTAGGTTCCCAATTATTGAAAGCTAGGAATCGTAGGAATCGACTCCGAACCCAATTACTTACTTTCTAATACTGTGGGGGGGACTTTTCTTCTGAAGCATTTATTGTGGGAATCGGTTCTTTGCCCAGCTCTACTCTCTAGCCTCAACAGCACAAAGTCTGCTGCGACTATCAAGGCACCCCGGAAATAGCAAGAGAGTGACAAACATACAAAAGAAGTGGAGGAAAAAATGACGATAGTAAGGAAGAGGAAAGAAAAAGCAGCAGTTCCTTTGTTCCGGCACAGTATGAGCATGACTTTGATAAATCAGTCAATTTACAATTTTACTGCGCATAAGAACATGTCAATATCCCCCATTTGGGAATGGCCTAAAAACACTTCAGTACAGTAAGGGGGGGGGGGGGGGGGGCAATATCTTTGAACACCCAGGAATATATTGGCGTCCAGCTATTCAAATATGCTATACGCCCAAAATTGTGAACTCTGTAATTGCAGTTTCTATTAATCTGTTGTATCTACTGCTACATAATATGCTCAAGAAATATTTTGTTTAAATTCAAAATCTAAATGCGGAAAAAAAAACAAAAAACGAAAGAATAAAGGATACATAATGTCGGTGCAATTGCTAAACAATGAAAGTTTTCAATCTCTCCTGAAAAATGTTGCTTTCTGGGCTCAGTATTTCTGAAGAGGTTTCTGGTGATAGACTCCGACTGACAAGAGAGTTATAGAAAGACGACTAGTTGCATCTTAAAACAATCTTTTCGCATATTTTACAGCTCATTCACATGAATACTATAACACACGTCACTGTGCAATGCAGTAAATCATTCTCAAGACATTCAAAATTTTGATCTTTTATTTATTTACTTATGTTTGTCACTGTCCTTCTATATATGAATGCCATCCATCCGGTGGTACAACAAGGTGTAAGTTACTGTGTTGTTTGCACTTTCTTTAGTTTTAATAAGAGCCGAACGCCATTTGCAACACAACAAGGTGATATAAAAGCGATCCACACCAGAGCACCCGCCAACCATCCTCTTGCACTTTCGGCAGAATATTGATTTAAAAAGTGTTGAGAAGGTGAGGCTGGAAAGTGTGTGATAACAGTGATAGTGTGCACATCATCAAATAGAACAAGATGTTAAACAAGATGCTATACCCCGTTACATGTTTCACGTGATCGGGAAAAAATTCCGTCAAAACGGGGAAAATAATTTCGGGGTTAAAAGTGTTAAAGAGTCACTCTCCAAACACCAACAGAGCAACTGTATAGTCACACAATAAGAACCAGTGTCTGCTAACAGTAGGCTATGTTGTGGCGTCGGTGGCCTAGTGGTTAGACTACTGGACTCGTAGTCATGAGGTTGCGGGTTCGGGGGTTCGAGCCGCGGGCCCGACATTGTGTCCTTGGGAAAGGCACTTTACACAAACTTTCCTAACCTCAACCAGGTGGGAATGGGTACCCGGACATAGACAGCGAAAGATCTTGTCAGTATGTTGTTTTAATGCCTATAAATGGCGGCTTGCACTGCATGCTTTCCAGGAAGTTAAGATTGTTTCCGAATGCTCTCATGTCTTTTTTGTTTTGTTTTAGTATGGGGTTTCACAGCGCTCACAACTGCATAAGGTTATATCAGCAAGCGAAACAAGTTGGTTTTTTCTCGACGGTTCATATCTCGGCTTGATACTGGTCAGTACTTCTGTTTAAAATTTTTTTAACACTAAAAATCGAGAGTAAATAGGCTTTAGATTTAAATTTAAATTTAAAACAACTTTCTAAATAACACTTTAAAATTTTGAACAATCTATTTCATAACTTTCCATAAAGGCCAATGGTCTTTATAAAATCTAAAATTCTGTTGGAAACAACGACGGAAAAAATATCTTGTAATTTTGTACATTTAAAGTATTTCCTTCAGGTCTTTCCACAGTCTAGACATTCGGTTAAAATGTGTCTAATGGTAAAATCTGTGTCGCATCCAACGCAGAACGGCTTCTCATCTCCTTCTCATCTCCCTGAAGGAGGTATTTGTCTGTTAGGGCCGTGTGTCCGATGCCTAATCGAATAAAAATGACTTCGTCTCTTCTGGAGAGGTCCGAAGGATTTCGCAGTCCCAGTTTGGGTTTAATATTGTGGAGTTTGTTACCCGTCTGTTTTTTCCAGTGGCTCTCCCACAGACTGGAGGCTCTCAGGTCTGCTGGGGAAAAAGTATAGATTGTGAAGCGCAAAGGACTTGCTGTTGAGCTGGGATATGCGCTATACAAATGCTATTTATTATTATGTGTCACGGACTCAAACAAACCTACCTATGAATTTCTTCCGCGGCCATATGAAAAGTCGTATAGTGGTCAAAGTGCTGTCCCTCTTCTCACCAAATGCCACGCCGCGGCACATGAACAAATTATGCGCAATGTCATTCTCGTGAAGGTAAGAGCTTATCTTGTGGGCAGACCTGGTACAGATTGGAATAAAATTAAGTTTGAGTGCGAGTTTTAAATAATATTCACATGATAGTGGCTGCAAAGTGTTCCGAAAGAAGCAAGACCACAAATATAAAAAAAAATAAAATGAAAAATAAGAAATACAGTAGTCTCCGTCTAAGATCCCAGTGCTCGGGAGCAAGGAAATGCGGGATCTTAGGCGAACCGGGATCTTAACCGACGAACCCAGGGAAGAATCTATGGTGACCCATGCTAAGGCTCACAATCGGTACAATGGTCTCCCTCCACTCTACAATGAACTGACGTGCCCCCTTGGTGGGTTTAAGACGTATGGCGAGCAAAGAGTGGTTAACCTTGATGACCTATCACAGTCCATAGTGGCATGAGGCGTGCCATTTTCACTTATTATCCTATCATGAGTCTCAGGATCTACGATTATCCAGTTGCCCCTCCTTTTTACCCGTCAAAAATTTATACCTTTCCATCTCTGACTGAGCTCCCCCCCCCCCCCTCCAAACCGCCTTTGTCGTTACACCCATTACGTAGTGAACGCACCAATTAAAATTCAGTCTGTCTCGCAAATTTGGGAGTAGAGACAACTACTGCAATGGTCAAGGAAGAGTTCACGGTTTGATGTCATCCTGCCTGGAGCGAACGTGTAGGCCCTACCCACCCAGCGAGTGATGCAAGTTTAGGTGGCGAGTTCAGGTGTGAGTGCGATGCGTGGGGAAAACAAACGCGTCGGTCAGTTCACACCCCGGTGTGATCCCGTCTGGGGCAAACATTGTATCGTTTCATCGAGTTTTACAACGTGTATGTGATCACATTCACGACAGTGGCTGATCTTTGACGCGACGCACAGTTTACTGATCACAACTTTTCACTCTTGGTTGAACGGCTGAGCCCGCCCGGGTTTTTGTTTAGCAAATTATGATCTGAAATGCAGGATCTTAGCCGAATGTAGACCATCAAAGCGGGATCTTAGGGGTGACTTTTGTATAGTAAAAATTCTGTTTTCCTAAAACAACGGAATCTTAAGCGAACCGGGATCGTAAGCGGTGGGATCTCAGGCGGAGACTACTGTACTAGTTATTCACAGTGACAAGAGGAGATGCCTAATTAAATTTATACACTAAAAACCACAGCATATAAAACTGAAAATATCCTTACCATATAGACATATCTACAAACCTACAATATTTACATAAACTAGGAATATATTACAACATTAAAAAAATGTTCAACAGCACACATTTACCTGGCCAATCCTTCTACAGTAGTGCCATGTAGTTGCATTACAAAGCCTGGACAAGGGAGGGAGGTGAACTCGTAGTAATCCCCAGCCAAGTGGTCCACGGGCTAGACACGACACAAAGATGGAAATATAAACAAAAAATCTCAAAACAGTTACATTATTTTCCAATCAGAAACATAACAAGCATTGTATTATGTTCATGTACATTTAACAAAGGCAAAACTAAGCGCCACTGCACGAACCTAAAGACTTCATTCTAAAAAAATTGAAACTTTACAAACACCAATTTAGTTTTTAGTTTTAGAAGAGGTTTTAAGGAGGTCGCAACTGCAAAAGATCATATGAGCGCCAGAAGATTAGAGCTGTTACAAGAGAGTAACAAACATAAAAAAGAAGGAGGGGAGATAAGGACGATAGACGTTTGATAGGAAAGAAGAAACAAACACACCATAGCACCCGCCAACCACCTACTGAAACATCAACAGTAAAGTGACTAAATATATATTTTTTTCAACAACAACAAAAATATTTAGAAAACAATAACTCATCTTCAGTCATGTACGTCTGTCAAAACTTAAGGGAAACTAATTACCACAGAAATTGTTTATTCTCTAATAGGACATTATAAACTTTCTCTTATTAATACAGACCCAGGAGCTCTTTCAGATGAGAATTGTTATAACATTAACCAACAACAGCAGAAAGCTGGTGAATACAGTGTAGTGTCTTATATGCTGAAGGGGCTAAATGTTTCTTTTTTAAATAGTGCAAAGGTTTTGAAGCCAGTTTGCATTAAGTTGGGTGCTGAGACCAAACTAAGAATTAATCAACTTTTTGGCTTCATCCATGTCGTGTAAAAGCCACATGGTTTTTGCTTTTGAAACAGTTCAAAACCTCACAACAGTGTAGTCTGAGCTCCGCAAAAGATGCTATTGTAAAAACCCTTCTGCAGTTCAGAGAGAAAAATGCAACATGATCCGGCAATTTATTTACGTTATTAATTTTTAAAACAGTGGGACTTTATATAGCTAGGAGCTTGTATATTTTGTAGCATGGAGCAAGGAAATTTCAATTAGCTTTAGTAATTCCTGAATAAGGAAAAGGGGGGGGGGGTGGGGGCTGTATTCTCAGCACCAATATTTCTGGGACTAGAGCTAACTTTAAAAAAATTATCCAGCATAAAAAACGCTACTAAAAATGTTTTGCTCATGACATTCACTTTATAATGTATGCCTAGGAACTACAAAAATCAATATATACATACACCCTTCTCTTTCATTCATAAGATAATCTTGTAAGCTTTACAAACAAGGGCCAATTGGTCCTCAAACAAAGCTATACAAATATAAAAATTGAAACATGTCTAATCAAACCTAACTTATGTAAAAAAAAAGTGATATTTTGCGACACGTCAGCACGATATTGACCCCCACTTTACCAGGAACAGGTTAGGACAAAAGAAACATTGGAAAGATATAAAAGGAGCAAACCACACCAGAGAGTCTTCCATCCATTCACTAGAAAACTGTTGAGATCTCAGTGCTTTCAGACAAGAAGAGGGAGGAGCAGCTATGGAATTGTGCCACCAGCAATGATGCCTATTCTACAACCAAGTAAGTAAGATAAGAAGAACAGAGGAACGAGGTGGAAATAAGCTGCAGGGCACATCGCTATTTACTACAGAACAAATTGGGGAAAAATACCCACTTTATATAACACTATTTTACTGAGTCAAAATAAGCACATGATCTTTTCATACTTTTCAACATAAAAGTGGGCCAAAAAAAAAAGACAATCCATAGTTAATCCACAATAATAATAATTTTAAAAAAGAGAAATCATGAGATCTAGGTGGAGTTTTAAAGTCACTATCACTTCATGGTCGTTCTATAATCTGGACATATGTCAAAACAAGACAATCAACACATAATGTCCACTAGCTTGACTTGAATTTTTTTGGCACATATATATTGTTGTAAAGAAAAATAACAAATAATTGTAAATATGCTTGACAGTACTTAACAAAGAGGTGTTGTTCTTGTTGGTTTTTTTCTGCAAAATGATGACATACCATCTACTTTACTTTGCTTTTCCGACCCAGCAGCCATTTGAGTTCTAGCCCTTGAGCCTAACATACTATCTACTAAATTATATTGGGAAAATGAATTTTAAAAAGAGAAAAAGTCCAGTTGCGAAGCTTCAAAAACAAACTGGATCAAAAAAAGGAAGCCAAAAGACAAAGACAACAGAAAATCTACCAGAACTGATGACATTCCAGAACAACAATGACGGATCAATAAAGACACAGAGGATTCAAAAAGAAAGTCCAGTGGCTTTGAACTACAATGTGCTTGCACAGAAAAACACACCAAAAAGACTTCTGCCTGTAGTTAATGAAGACAGCGGTATTTCTCAGACCATACAGGGTCCACCAAAAGGATTCACCCGACATCAATGAGAACATTTATTTTTCTTGTTACGAACACACCGCACTTTATTCTAGGCTAAAATTCAAACTGTCCAGATTTTTTTAGATGAAGACCGTAGATATTTGAAAAACCTTCCCCTTGACCTATTATTAATACCACAATAGAATTTCGTCCATATATGCCTGTTGCTTTTAACTGCAGGGTTAAAACAATAAAAGTTCTCAGCTCATCTGAAGATGTGGGCATGCAATAATGACAAGTATCTACAAATCTATAAAAGCATTTCAAAGAGAAGACAGTGCATGGACTGCTGACTGTACGTGTTGCTCTATTCCCCCCAAAATATAATATTGTGCTAAATTTTTGTAGATTATTCCTAAAACAGTGCTATTTATATTTAGGTGATGGAAACAATGACACTATGAATTTTTTGGTCCTGTGACAGTGCTGTGAGCAACAGAGTGAACTATAATCCCCTTATCCTGAAGTAGATACTCACATAGTGATCCACAATTTGCTCATAAGTGAAGTAGTACATGTGAAAGTGCTGGTGGTTCACAGAAGACAGAGCACATAGACTGTTGAAGCCTAGCCGAGCACCCCTGGGAGATCAGATTAAAACCAAAACACCACATCTTAGGCTTGGATAACTTCTCTGCTGAGGAAAATGAGTTTTCCTGCAAAATGCTTCTGCATGCTGACACTAATCAACAATTAATTCAAAATGTTTTTTACTCTCACAGAAGAGGTCAAAGAGCAACTGAAGCAAAAAAAAAAAAAAAAAAAAGTCTAGGCATTCACATTCAGCAGACCAGCATGCTCTTGAACTTAAATTTTGGCCTTGTCTGCTTTCATGGCAAGCTGATTGCATCTTTGGAGAATATGTTCAAACAAAACCCAGCACAATACTTCAGGGTTAATGGAGTCTTCTTTTTGCTCATCATCGTATCATCGTCAAGTGCCAGACCTGTGACAGACATTGACGATCATGGCTCTCAATTCATTCCTTTGCTCAGATGCTCTAAAAAAAAGCTACATTATCACCGTCACCCATCTGTTTAGGGTTTCCTAGTAGGTTACTCTGAGTCTACCCCTGCGGTCTCATTTGCCTTCAATTTTGACAGTGAGAGCTACATGTTCAAGGCCTTTACTTTGTCTTTTCAAGCGTCCCCGAAACTGCATTTGTCTTTTACTGATTGTTTGTTTCAGCGAGCGGCCTACCCGCGTTTCTACCTGATTTGATTTCTTTTCCTTCCAAGAAATTCTCAGCAGTCACCTAAGAAACCACATTTCTGTTGCTTTTATTTTATTTTCACTGTCTTTAGTGATTGTTCAGCATTCATAGCCAAATAAAAGGGTCGACTATCCATAACAGTTCAGAACTTTCATTTTCCTAGTCATTACGTGGTCTCTGTTTGTCCGGATTGGGCTCACTTTATTGAAACTATCTTTAACCATTGCAATTCTTAAAATTTTATTTCTGCGGAACATATGGCACCAAATGTAATTATATATCCTAGATATTTAAACTGTTGAACATATTTGATCATTTCGTCTTTTCTTAAGAGATTACAAGTAGGACTTACTGCTTTTTTAGAATAACCATGCATTCTGTTTTCTTCACATTCAACAGCAAACCTTTACGTCCACTTTTCTTTTTGCTACTAGATGTAAATCTCGAATTCAGGGGGTATCTAGTGAAAGCCTACCCCTGTTCAAAAAATCGTTGCCTACAATTGAAAAAAAGTGGGGGGCCGGCAGGGTGGTGCAAAGGAACTGAAGGCTCATCTCAGCTGTGTGGACTGTGGTATGCCTACAAGGCTATGTGACCAACGGATTCTCAAGGAAAACGCCAACCACACGAACCATTTCTTGTCCCCATTGAGAGAGGTGAATAGGTAATTGGGCAACTTGGTTCAAAAACAAAGATGTAAAGTAAGGGAAGAAATGACATTTTTATTCTACTTTGAGGTACTGAAAAGACAATACAAAGGGAAACCGATACAGGTACAGAGGGCTATGACGCAAAGAGATACAAAGGTAGCCATGTAATTACAAGCAGAAACGGTAAAATTAGAAAGGGCTGGGTTTGATAGAAAAACTATGAGGCACATAATAAATTATCAAGGGTGCAAGTGTCCCGACAGTGTGAGAAAACTATGAAAAAGGTTGTACAGAAGCCTCACCACAAGAACATTCCATTTGATTTTTCCACCAACACCCTACTTCAAAATACACGTGGTATATGTCAAAGACGGGGAGTTTGCCTGAAACATCAAATGTGTCATTTTTACCTTGAGGCTTCTTACCAGCTTTGTCACGATTTTCTACAGCACAGGGAGTACCTTCAGCAACCGGCAAATCAAGGAAGACAAGTGCAACACAAGTAAAGCAGAGGACTTATTATCATTAAACGGAAATTTGTTAAGCAAATGAGGCGCAAACGACTTTTGTTTCTAAAACAATCTGACTGCAAGAAGGAAGTTCTTTTGAAATCAGAGACACCCCCCGCCCTCCTTTTTTTTTCATACACAAACACAGCTGACATCTATATAAATAAAACAAATTGGATAGAATTAAACATGAAAAGACCTCAAGAGAAAATGGGCATTTCTTTTGCTGAATGCATTACAGCACTTTCCCAAGAAGAGAAAAAATGGAGTATTCATAAAACCTATCACAAAAAGACAGTCAAAACAAGGAGGACAAAGACAATAATCCTCAACAAAATAAACTAAAAACAAATAGTTGTGTTAGCATGGAAACAAAACATTTGAAATTAATAAATTAAAGGTGCAGTCAGTAGCTAAGATCATGTCTTTGTGTAATGCCACAGAACACATAAATAAAGTTCTTGCTAGGCAAGCTCCTGAAATTTCAAACAACTCAACGGGCAGAGAGGATACAGTACACAATGAAAAATACTGGACATTAGTCACAATTTTTTCAACTTTCAAGCAACAGCTGAGTTTGTAAACAGCTGCGCTAGAGCAAATGACTACAATTGCTACAATATTTGCCGCAGGGAAAAAAAACTATGGCACAAAGCAGACAACCTCAAAAGATAAACCATTCGACAAAACTCTTTTTCACCTTTAGAAAACACTTTAAATTTTACACAGGGAGACCAAGGACACATAAATAAAGAATGTTTTTATATGGGATTTCCTTCGCTTTTCAAACCAATCACTGCATGAAAGTAAAGTGCCCAACTTCCAAATAAAAAAGAAGTATGCCTTCCTAAAATGCAACAAATGAAAACAGATATAGGTCATCGCTCAGAATTAACACATTTTACAGGATTTATTTCTCAAACAGACAATTGCTGACAACAATAGTAAGGGTAAAGAAAGTCAAATCAATTAGCAAGTTCACCAGAAAAAAACATAGCAAGGCCCAAAACAAGAAGAAACCTCAGAGGAAAAAGAATCATGGATGGAAGCACAAAGGTGTAGCGGTCTGAAGACTCCGACTGGACTACTTCAGGAGGTGCAAGAACGGCTGTAAGGGGAAAAAAGAAAGAATAAGAAATATGCCACCCAGAAGTTGGTATCTTGCAGCTTTTTGTGGGAGATGCTATTGCTAACTTCATTGGGGAAGGTACCTGTGCTATTTTCATAAGAACTTTGTTGTACTCTCCACTATGTCTTAAAATAAAATAAAATATGTCATCGAGGAGAAAATCTACATGGACAAACAAGAACAACAGCGGGAAAGAGGAAAGAAAGGTAATAGGGCCTACTAGTGGCGCCCTCCAAGTACAAATGTTAAAAATACCCCCCCCAATCTTAGGCAGACTAAAAGAAATCTCTTTTGTACACACCACACAAAGCTAGAATTCCAACGAAAACCTCTCAGGTCTAAAACTTCTCAACCAGAGGGCTGCTGACAATGTTCACAACTAATCATCCCCAGACGTCGCCCACACTCACGCAATAGTCCGCTATGAGTTCGTAGTCGAGGTAGAAGAAGTGAAAGTGCAGGTGATTCACAGAGGCGAAAGCACACAAGCTGTTCATGCCTACCCGTACTCCCCTGCCAGGGACACAAGGAGAAACTCCGTTTGGTGAAATCAGCAACAATTATCCCGAGAGGCAGGTTATTCTTTTGTTCTGTTGGGTTTGTTTTTTGTTTGGGAGGGGGGGGGGGGGGGGGGGGATGAGTGTAACTTTAAATAGACTATTGTGCCATCCTGGAGGTTATTTTGTATCACATATTTA